AACATATTTCGAAACAAGGTAAAAAATTGTGTATTAACTTAATTTAATTACAAGATAAAAAAATGAGAATATTTTTTTAAAAAACAATTAAAATTTTTTTAAAAAAAATAATTAAGAAATATTATTTAAATATTTTTATTTTAAAAAATAATAATATTTACACACATGGCGGGCGAGTGTATACAAACACAACCAACTTGGGTGGTTGAAGGTGCCACATCAACACAAAAGGTGCACAAAAATACGAATAAAATGAGTTCAGGGGTAATAGAATCTTAGTTAAGTTTAGGTGTGTCTCTGGGATTTCGGTCATAGTTTAGGGGGGTACTTGTTGACACCCAATTTTGACTCCCCGATAGGAATTAATTCACGAGCTTCTTAATTCTCGAACGATTCAGAATATTAGTTTTATAAAATTTCAAAAAATGATTTGCAAGTTATTTCTAGTTTTGTCACCTTTTATAATTTTAAATAATATATATGTTTTATATAATTTTGTATTTAAATAGTATATTTTATGAATATTCAAAAATTGCCTCAAAAAAAGTTTTAGTTTTACTTAAATATTTGGTTAATTGGGTTTAGTTAGCTAATACTTATATTTTTGAGTTATTAGTTTATAATTAAGTAAGTTATTCTATTTCGTTAAAATTAAGAAGCTCGCTAGTTAATCAATATTAATTCGTCTTGTTTAAATTTTAGTCAAATTCTCTAAATTAAACTAAATTTGGTTAACTTCTTAATTCCCATTGGCCATAATTGTAATTCTTGTGGCCATTTTTTTGCATTGCAAATCTAGCCTCACTTTAACTCATTTGCAAGACCATTTGGGCCGTTTCTTTTAATTTTTGAGCAGCCCATTCCATTATTTCCAGCCCACTTATTTCCCATTCTAATTCTAATTCCCATCTCCAACCCAACCCACTTCCAATTCCAAATAACCCAACAATACCAGAAAGCCACCAAATCCATTACAACGTCCAAACCAGACGACCCCAGCGTCTTCCTCGCTGCGAACAAACCCAGCAACTCGTGAACCAGTCCAGAACGCGAACCCAGCAACCCGACCCAAATCCAGCGCATCCCCCTCTCACCCGCAGCATGTTCTTTTTCGTACAAGGGCCGTTGTCGAATTATCCAGGTGTCTCCATCTTCTTGTCTCTTCGTCCTTTCCCTTAAATCGGACGATCCTCCTCTCAAATCCGTTGAAGAATGGTACTATTCCAGCTCGTCTACTCTTTATCCTTTAGGATTTCAAATTTCAAATTTTGGGGGACTTCACTCAAGATCCCTCCCGACTCCCAGCCCTAATTTTCCCCTATAAAAAGCTCACTTCTCCTCATCTTTTAAGGGGGGACCGCAACTCACATATAGAGAAAAATATCTCATAAAGGATCCAACATGAAATAGATATAAAGAATACATACAAAATACATTTGAGAGAATATAGAAAGAGATTCATCCTCTGAAACAGAGGATATTTTTAGATTGGAGATTCTTTTGCTTTCCGAAACTCATCTTAATCGGCTCAGAGTGGTGGAAGCGCTTCAAAGTTTCGAGTTCCAGTCTCGCTGCCTTGGAAAAGGTATGCAACCTCGTTCTTCTTACAGTTCCTCTTAAATTTGATTTTGTTTGTTTGTTTAGTTGACTATATTGTTTTGATAGTTCACTAGGAATAGGGGATTTCCTCGTGTGATTTGAAACCTTGGTCGTTGGTTTGTAGAGTATGATCCAAGTACGTGTGTGCGGGGATAGTGAATGTGGTTAGAACCGTTTTCTAGCTCAAAAGTTGTTGCTTGTTGGTTTGATTTCTTCACTATCCATTCTTGTTTCTATCAAAGTGGTGTAAATGTGATAAAAGCTAGACTATTTCCCTTCTTTTGTTTTGAGTTACTAATTCCATATAATAGATGTGGCTAGTCTCTATTCTCAAGTTGCTGGATCGTTGTTCAGGTTTATTCAAAGTACCGAGCTCACATTTTAAGATCACTTTTCTTCGTAGTTCTGCTCCTAATTCGATTCTTAGCTTTGAATTTCGAATGTTTAAGTTTTTCTTGTTCATTATTTGCTTCTGAGTTGATTGGTTTGTACTAGTTCAAAGTCATCAATTCATTTCTATCATGCCTTAGCTTCTTTTTGGTGCTTCGTATTGTTTCGGTTTGAATAGTATTCCGCTATTTGTTCACTCCTGGAACATGGAAGATGTTTGGATTAATTTGGTTTATAGTGCTAATCACTTGTAATACTTATCATGCAGTGCATAGAGTGAATAGCCATTTTGTTTATATCAGTTCGGATTTAGTTTTATGTGAATTTGTTGGAAGACAGTAACTTAAAGTAGCCATCTTTTATCATTAGCATGACTCGGGTTATTAGTATTTTTTTTTAGGATTTGTACTCATTTTATAGGTTTTCACTGTTTAGTCCAATAGAGTATTTGCCATATATTAATTTAGGTGTTGTTTATGATTTATTTTTGATATATTATTGCTCTATTATTTTTCGGACACTAATCCTTACTATCATTTTTGTTGCATGTGATACCAATCCGAGTTCACTTTGGACTCCACTCTTGCATATCCTTGAGTCGTTTCGAGTCATCCTCATATTTTCGATGAAAAAGAAGCTGAAACAGGCCCCCAGAAGTCCAAAAGCAGGCTGTATCACGTTGTGTACAGAGGAATATGCAAAATATATGCAAATATACAATGATATACAAGTCGAATGCGGAAATACTAGGCATAAATTCGAAATACAGGTGTTGAAAGTTGAAGTGGGTTGTATACATTCGGTATGCAGCTCGAGATACAGGAAACGGGGCCAATATACGAGTTGTATGCACCGATATACAACTTGTGTATACAAAAAACGGGAATGGATTTCAAAGTCCAAAAATCAGCATCTTTGGCCCAATGTTTCTGGGCTATAATAGGTCCAAAGTTGAATATTTCCCTTCCCTCTCTTACTTATTTTATTCTATTTGACTAACACTTTGATTATCTTATGGTTCAATTTAATTAAATACCCAAAGATCACCATTTCACATATATAATATATATATATATGTAGATTTGGCCCAATGTTAAATTAAAATATGTAGATTTCATACTTAGTTTTAATTCTATTATTTGTCTCGTCGCTAAGTTACTTCTCCTTAGAAAAACCCCATTTAGTCTCATTTCCCTTAAGATAAATAGAAATGATAAAAAAATAATAATAATAGTAATAAATAAATTAGTTAAAATAAATAAGTTCTTTTACCTAATTAAAATTTTTAAAAAAATAAGTCCTTTATTTAGTCAAAATTTCAAAGTTAGTTATAAAGTAAATAAGTTCTCTTACCTAGTTAAAACTTCAAAAAAGTTAGTTTAAATAAATGAGTTTTTTTTTTACTTGGTTAAAATCTCAATAAAATTAGTTAAAATAAATGAATTCTTTTACTTAGATAAAATTTCAAAATTAGTCAAAAGCATTTTGGTCAGATCGTCGGTCAACCGCGAGTTAGCGGACATTCCGAGGGCCTAACACCTTCTCGGAATGTACATTTGAACTCGTAACCCTTTTTCTAATTGATTTTATCTGTTTAAATCATTTTGAAAAAATCTTGTATTTTTTCTTGATTTTTTACTAAAAATTAAGTGGCGACTCTGTTCTTTTGAAAATTTGATTACTCTTTAACTATAAGTTTAATCGATTTTTCAAAACTCGGTCATTTTTCCTTTTACATATCTTTTTAAATAAAACAGTACTTATGCATTATCCTTTTTTTAATAATAGGCATTAATATGAAGAAATTAATATAAAGAACGGCAAGGATAATAATTAACTTTTTTGTGATTATGAGAATGAAGAGTCGCTTGGCATGGTACGGTATAAAAATAGTACCGAATAAGATATATGTATTAGTAAAGTTGGTCATGCTTAGATTATTAAAAAAATTGTGGTTGAAAAATGAGAGAAATCCCTCTATTTATAGTCAACAAAGGGTAGTATGAACAAATGTTTTTTGTGTCTTATCTGAAAAGTCATAACTTTTCTGAGAAGTCACAACCCTTTGAAAAAGTCACAACTTATTGAAAAAGTCACATCTCTTTGGAAAAGTCACAAATCATGGAAAAATCATAACCCTTTGAAAAAAGTCACAACTTATCATAAAAGTCACAACACTCACCGAAAAAGTCACTACCTAAGTTAAGGATATTTTAGTAATTTAACATTCAAGTTAGGAATTCATGCTTCTAAGGTAATATAGATATAGATATAGATTGGTTTTATATAAAAAAAAAATTTAAAAAAATTTTGAAAGGTCAGGTATATATGGACCATTCTAAAGCACACATTTCTTATCCTCTTCAGTGTGCAAAAGATTATAGAAAAAAGTTAATCATTTGCACAAAACAAAGCTACTAAAGCAGGGAGATTAAATCCTTCAGAAATGGCTTCTGCCGCTCTTTCTTCACTTATGTATACATTGGAACAACTCTTCAAACCTAATCAATCTTTCGTTTGTCCATGCTCTACACAACATCTTCAATCTCTCTATCAAAATCTTTCTGCTCTGCAACTTTTCCTTGACAATACTACCACAAAGGATATTGAAACTCTTAAGTTTATAGAAAAGAGGATCAGAGATGTAATATACAAAGCAGAAGATAAAGTTGATTTAAGCCTAAGAAGTATCGTTTTAGCAGATTGCACAGAGAATAAAGAAGGGGCTTGTAAATTCTTTGAGGAAGAATTGGTACAAGTGGAAAAAGATGTTGATTCTCTCAGGCAAGAGGTGATGCAGAATGAGTTTAACAAGCATGGAAGCAAATCCGCAGTAACTCTCTCCTCACCAGAAAAAAGTACAATTGAGGAAAATAGTATTGTTGGGATGGAGGATGACTTCAACACCATACTTGATCGCCTCACTGCCCAAACAGACGAGTTACCTGTCATACCAATTTTTGGTATGGGAGGTATAGGTAAGACAACTCTTGCCAGAAAAGTTTATGATGATTCATACATTCGTTCTCGATTTGATAACAAGCATGGGTCACTATCTCTCAAGAATACAGTGAGAGACAAATGCTTCTTGAACTTGTCTCTTCAATTACTGGAAGCAAGCAAGAAACAAGCAATGGTGAACTAATGGAGATTGTGTATAGAGGCCTGAAGGGTAGGAGATTTCTAATTGTCATAGATGATATTTGGGGTACTGAGGCATGGGACCAAATCCAAAGAATACTTCCCAAAGATAACAATAAAAGCCGAATTCTATTAACCACTCAGCTCAAGTATGTTGCTGATTATGTCAACAACCCTGATTTTCTGCCTCATAGTAAGTCTTTCCTAAGTCTAGAAGATAGTTGGAATCTATTCACCAAAAAAATATTCATAAAAGATCATTGTCCTCCTCTTCTAAAAGAAATAGGGAAGCATATTGTACAACAATGTCAAGGATTACCTCTCTCTATTGTTGTCGTTGCTGGACTTCTTGTAAAAATGGACTTAACGCATGACAATTGGAAGGAGGTTGAGGAAAATCTGGACTCATTCTTTGGTATGGTATCTGAACGATGCCAATCAATTCTTTCTCTGAGCTACAACTACTTGCCCCAATATTTGAGGGCTTGTTTTCTCTACATTGGAGGTTTTCGAGAAGACAGAGAGATTGATGTTTACAAGTTGATTAGGCCATGGATTGCTGAGGAATTCGTAAAGGCAAGAAGCAATAAAAAGTTAGAAGTGGTGGCAGAGGAGTATCTATAAGAGTTAATTGATAGAAGTCTAATTTTGACCGGAGAACAAAGTGTTGGGTTTTAAAGGTGTGAACAGGAAATGAAGGGTTGTGACTATGCCGAAGAGTTGTAAACTTTATGAAAGGTTGTGTCCTTTCTAAAGGATTGTGACCGTTTGAAAGGTTATGCCTTTTCCAAAGTGTTGTGACCTTTCTGAAAGGTTGTCTTCTTTCCAAAGGGTTGTGACCTTTACCCTTTGTTGGCTATAAATAGAGAGGTTTTCTCTCATTTTTCTGCATCGAATTCTTCCCTTCTTTTGCATACATTTCTTACAAACCAAAATTGATCGATCGTGTCTGTGTATGTGATTCATTGCTGTCATTTTGAGTTCGTTGAAATTATCGAAGTTTGAGGTACCGCTACTTCTTTAATGGTTAATCCATTTTATCTTGGGAGGAATTAATCTGCAACCTCGGGTACTTGAGGGGATTAAATTTCTTAAGGACACACAGTGGGTTCTGTGGACTCGGATAGTTCTTTGTGTTTTTCTTTTCATCTTTTATTATTTCTGGTTTGCTAATCTGAATACAGGAGATAACAAGCTTAAAAAATTTATTGATGGTATTTTCTGTGGTAAGGAAATTACTTCTATTTTTTCTGTTCTTTTTATTGGGGAAAGAACAAGATGAAAAATGAGAATTATTTTATCATATGATAAAAGAGATTTGGGATGAATTAGTACTACTTTAGTATGTTAGAGTATATTTTTTGTAGTAAGTTTTCCTTGGATGAGTAAGATTATTATTATTTTCTTCTCAAGTGCATTCAAGCATTGCACCCTTCAGTTTTCTTTCAATGAGAAAAGTTATTTTGTGCATAAAGGCTAAGATGTGCACTTTAATTATTTTTTCTATATTCTTTGTTTTATATAACTATGAGAAGAAGTAAGTGAACAAATGTTGTCTCCTAACAATATTTGAACATGAGTTTAGTTTCTCGTTGAAAATTCAATGTCTTCTGAGGAAAATTGGAATATGATAGAAACTGGAAAAGAAGGAAAAAATTAGCAACAAAAGTGACTTGCATGGAATCATTGCTGACAAATACAATGTGATTCAATGGGGGTAATAATCAAGTTTTATCTTTATTTCCCTTGATTATTATTATTTTTCTATCCTTTATAAGTTATGAGATTTATTTCATAAATGTTAGGATAGATGATCATTATGTGATGATCTCAGAATATATCTTTATTAATATTAATATGTATTCTGTTTAGAGGAGGAAAAAAAAACTTTTGTAGTTTTCTACTCCATGTGAAATTTGATTGTGTTTGACTTTTGGAGACTAAAATCTTCTGGATTTTTTGTTTAGTCCTTTGTTTTGAAGAATATAAGAACTACACGAACAAATCAGATTGTGCATTGGTTTGAAGAATATAGAAACTTCACCAATTTGTTAAATACTCTGTTTGAATAAATATTCTGACTTAAAGAGTACAAAATCTTTGTCAGGAATAATAAGACTAAATGATTTGAAAAAGATAAAATCTTCATCGTTAGCTAGAAACATTGTTGTATTTGAGGTTTCTGGAGATTAAAACATTTTTGGTTTACTACTCTGTCTGAATGTGAAACTGATGCGAAGAATATAAAAACTTCATCAGAATTCAAGGTTCATTCGGTTAACGATTAGAAGAATATAAACTTCATCGTTAAACTAGAAACAAGTTGTATAAAGATTGAATCTTTATTGTTAGTATTCTAAATACTAAGTGGTTTGTCTAGTTGTGACAGAAAGGGGAAAAAAACCAACTAGTGACATAAAATTAGTGATTTTTGCGCCTGCAATGGGGGTTTATATGGATTAAATCTCCAAAAGAAGGCTTCGTGTTGCCAATATGTATTTTGATGGTATACAATATGAAAGCATGGGAAAAAATATGTGGAAAATAATTTCAAATACTTGAAAAATATTGTTGAGAACATATTTAAATGTGGGGGGTTCTTTACTTATGATAAAGACAAAATTAGACTTACTATCTAATTTAAATTTAAAAGTACAAGATATGAACTTTGATGACATTCTTGTATTATGTTAGTCCCACAAAATTCTTCGAGTATATTTGATATTGTGGTCGTTGAGTCTCTCTTTACTAGTATATGATATGACTAGTATGAAACCACAAAATTATATTACTCATTGAAAAGAATTGTATTCTTTGATGAAAAAGTGTCACTTAAAATATTGTGATTTTTCATAAAAAGATATGTCTATTTGTATAGACATGAACATTGGTGAAAAGTGATATGTTATGTTTGTGTTGTAAAACAAACATTTGGGTCATATTGCCCTTATTGGACCGATGAGACTATGATCATGGGTAATTCCATAACAAATTGAATGTTATGGAAAGGTCCTCTAAAAAGGACATATGGCAAGGTGTTGACTCTAAAACAATGTCAAGAAAGTTATAAAAAGTAAAGAACAAAATATTTGTGGGAAAAGGTTACCTCACAGAAGGTCTTTTCAAACTTAGTATTTATGTTTGTTCTTACTTGCTTGAATCAAATTATTTGTGACATAAATGCTTAGGACATGTCAATTACAAAACCTTGCAAAAAATTGATCAACTTAGAAGTTTTGCCTAACTTCTAGTGCAATAAATCAAAATGTCAAG